GCTTGTTTCTGCCGGGCGCGCGCCAGTGCGCACGCGCGCTGTCTCCCCTCGCCTGGGTCAGTCTGCGGCGCGCGGGGCTGGGGGTGCTAACCGCTCTGTCGGCCCAGTCCTCCCGCAGCATCCCCAAGGCCGCTCCGTAGGTGCTCCTTCGAGGGCTGGTCCTGGGTGCCGCCACACACGCCGTCCCTATCTCTTGTCGGGAGTCCTGTCGTCGCAGGTAATAGGCGGACACGCCCTCCTTACCCGCCCACGCGGAGGGCGGGGGCGCCCGAGGGTGTAGGGACTCGGGTCTGGTCGCCTCTGCCCGGCCTAGGCGGCCCCAGAGCTCTGCCTTCGACGGGAGCCTCGTGACTGCCCCCCAGGGGGGCTGCCCTGGATGCCCTGTTATCTGCCATTCATTCGTTGATCACACATTCTGACGGTAACTAGTGTTGGTTGAGTACCCAAGGCCTGGGAAATTTTGTTCCAATTTAGTCCACCTGCTGACATAATCAGGGCTCTGACCCTTTTTCAAAAAATAGATGTGCCTCCTACTCCATAGGGGTTACGGAGGGAATTGGCTGGAATTGCAAGGTCCTCTGGTCAAGAAAACCCAGTTAATACCCTTCCCATCTCGTCCTTCCTTCCAAGATGATGCTCAGTAAGACTTGAAGCTGGGAAGCATGCTGTATTTCTTCTTTCTGGGAGATGGCAGAGGGTCATTCGTTTGCTCATTCATTCAACCAAAATGTATCAAGCACCTACTTCATGCCAGGTTGGGTGATTATGGGGACACAACAGACATCAAGACAGATTAGTTTCCTACCCTCAAGGAACTAAGTCCAGTGGGTATCAGACCACCACCAGACAGTGACAATCTGAAGCAGTACTATCTAATAGAAATATAATGCAAGCCACACAGGCAATTTTAAATTTTACATTTAAAAAAGTGAAATTAATTTATTTAACCCAATATATCCAAAATAAGTTATGTTTAATGAAAAAAGATTTACATTGCTTCAATTTTAAATTTTACGTAAAATTAAATAAAATTAAAACTCGGAGGCATTAACAAAGACATTCATTTGTGGCTTGTGGGTTGTCATAGCAAAAGGTTGGAAACTATTAACGTCCGTTAATAGAAGTTTGGATAAATAAATGATAGTTCAGCCACACAGTGGAATACCATGCAGCGGGCAACTGTTGAAAAATGAGACAGAGCTATATGTTTTAATATAAGTAATCTCTAAGGTATATTAAGTAAGACAAAGGTGCAGACATGTATATAGCATACTACCATTTCTATAAGAAAAAGAGTTTTATGCAGAAATAGAAGTATAATGATGTACACCTAAAATTTATACAATGTTATAGACCAATGTTACCACAAAAAAAAAGTATTTTTTATATATACTGTATGCCTGCGTAGGTACAGAACACCTATAGAAAGACACAGCCAGAGTTACCTTTGAGAAAGGGAAACAGAAGGACAGACGATCAGGTGTGAAAAGATGACTTTCTTTTCATTATATGCTCCTTAGTATGTTTTGAATATTTTTACCATGTCCAGTTTTAAAAGTTGTTTAATTAAATCAAGGTTGATAGCTAAGTCATAGAATCATAGTAAAAATTAAATGAAACAATATTTATAAAATGCCTGGCTACAGCTTTACAACCTAATCCATTCTGGATGCTATTATTACTCCCAGATCACTCTTCCACCCAGTAAAAACCAGCCCACCCTGATAATGTATGTTTGTCAGCCTGGAAAATTGTTTCTTTCCATAAAAAAGTTAAGTGCTTTACAGCCCCAGCCCTCGCTGAGAAGTCAACTGTAAAGCCAGAGTAGCAGTCCCAGGCCCTGGGGACAGACTTGGGCTCCTTATCAGGAATGTCATTCAAAAAACAGAGTAAGCCGAGATGGCCCTCTGGCTTTACAGTCAACTAATTAGGTCCTTTTGATGCCAGTTGGGTTTTCTGTACGCCTGTCCCCAAACGTGAGAGCCAACTGCAAGGCTGTAGGATCCACGCAGGGCCCTGCCTCAAAGTGTGGAGCACACCCTCCATTTGGGTGGCCAGGTCTCCTTGTTATGTGTACTCACAGCACTTTGTTCTTTTCCTTCTTAAAGCTGAATCATTAGCATAATTTAAGTTTGAGAAAATTAAAAGTTGCAGAAAAATTCAAAGAATAGGATAACCCATCACCCAGAATTTCCCACTGTTATCCATTTTATGACTATTTGACGTCTGCCTTCCCTGCGGAACTGTAAGCTCTGTGGGGCAGAACTGTGTCCCCTCACACTCCTATAACAGAGCATATGGAGCCAATGAGTGACCCCAAAGGAGCCCAGGGGCCCAATAGCATCATGGAGTGCAGTGCCCCCGAGAGCACATTCTTTTTATTACAAAGGCAGAGCTTGCGGGATGCTCGCCTTCCATCCCACCACTGTACTTTGGAGTGGACTGCAGCTAAGAAAAAGGATGTAGTGCCAGTGTCAATGCCCAGTCACAGGCCTGGTTCGTCTCCATAGCCAGCAGGACATACCATATATCTCAGTCCCACATACTGACTGCCCTAAGTTGACTGCAGGGCTTGAATTTTCCCATTAGATCATCTCTGGGTTATCCAGATATTAAAAAGTCAAGACCATCGGGATTAAGGCATCTAGAGCTCACTCTGGACTCACTTTAAGGACAGGTAATGGGATCAGGGAATCGAATGTGGGGGGGTTTAGAAGAGCGGTTTCCTCTGAGGGTAACCCAAGGAAGCTGGTGTCTGCGATGGGGGAGAGTGGCAAAAAAATAAACAGAGGTTTGGAGTTTGAAGGTCTTCTTTCTCACTAACCCCCAAAGAATGTGCCCCACTTGTTTTTGTAGGCTGGTCAAGAGAGGTTAGACCCAGAGGAGATATTAGGGACAATGGAAACTGGTGACAGTGACTGGAACAGCAAGTGCAGGGTTACAGGGGAATAGAATGGAAAAAGATATGGCAGGAGGGCAGCATGCAACCTTGGGGAGAGTGGATAGAGAGAGGGGATGCTGACGTCTGACAGCCAGTCCCCAGTTCCCATTAGTGGGTTGTGGGTCAGAGAGCTTCCTTAGCATCAGCTGGCAGAACCTTTTCCTCCTCTGATACAGTGGAAGAATCTTAACAGTGGATTGAATCTTAGTCTTGAATCTGCCCCGTGTAGCCTTGAACAGATCCCTTTCCCTCTCTGAATTCACGTTCTTACATATAATGGAGACGGTGAGATCTGCCTCTCAGAATTCTTCCGAGAACTAATGAAGTGATGGATGTGGAAGCTTTTTTGTGGGCTCTAACCCACTCTACCCATGAGATGATGATGAATCTTGCCTGCTGCTTGTCCCAAGTCCAGCCATTGAGTCTCTGTGGCAACACAGCACCTAGGCTTAGCCATACTGGAGGGCGAGTTCTGCTGACCCTGCCTAAGGAGGCCCAGGCCAAACTGATCTGGAACTCCATTAGCTCTCCAAACCAGTGGTTCACAGACTTTAAGTGTGCACAAGATCAACTGGAGAGCTTGTTAAAACTCAGACTTTGGGGCCCTACCCTCAGTTTCCAATTCAGTAGGTCTGGGGTGGGGCCCAATAATTTGCATTTCTAACAAGCTCCCAGGTGATGCTGATACTGCTGGCCTGGGGATCACACTTTGGGGACCACTTCTTTAAACTGAGGGGCTAGCCTGCTGGTGTAGTGGTTAAGTTCATGTGCTCCACTTCCACGGCCTGGGGCTTGAGGGTTCAGATCCTGGGCATGGACCTACACACCACTCATCAAGCCATGCTGAAGCAGTGTCCTATATCCAAAAAAAAAATGGAGGAAGATTGGCACAGATGTTAGCTCAGGGACAATCTTCCTCAAGCAAAAAATAAATAAATAATTAAAAAAAATAAACTGAAAGTTCATCAGTTTGCCTTCATCTGGCAGGCACAAGGATGGCCTCCATTGCCCTCTGCTGGCCAGATTACAAATTTAGCTGTCATATTCGCAGAGCAAATGAAAAGTACAAAGTATAGGTTGGAAGGAAATAAATACTTGTCTGAGAACCCAACCAGCCTGAAAACAGCAATCATAATTGTTGCTTCAGCGTATACTTAAAAAGGTATTCACAGGAATTATTTGATCTTTGCAACAATCCTGTGAAGTAGCCAAGCCTGGCATTTTCATTTTACAAATGGGGAAAACAAAGCTATCATCAGACCAGTAATGACAGACTCCCTGACAGAGCGGGCTTGTTAAAAGTAGGATTTATTCACAATCCAACCAGGAAAGGTTTGTCCTCATGAAGGCCAAAGAGAAGGGAATGGGGGAGAGGGTGATGAAAGCAGATGGATCACATGTAAGAGCTACTTGATTCCACAAGCCTGGGAACGCCTGCAAGCCCAGATGGCTGGATTCTTTCTCCAGCTGTGCTAGGTGGGGCTGACTCTCTCTCCTGGGCACCCCTTATCTCGATTTCCTATTTCAAGAGTCAGACTTGAATGTCCATAGAATTACCTGGGAAGCTTGTTACAAGTGAAGGTCCCTGAGTCCCATCTCCAGGATTCTGCTTCAGTAGGTCTGGGGGGGGGACCTCGGGTTCTGCATTTGAAGACGTACCCTGTGCCCCAGGAATCCTGGTGCAGGAGGTCAGGAGCCATACTTTGGGGACTTCTAGTCCTCGCAAAATGCTTCTTGACACACCACCACCAGCAAAGAGCTATGATTTGCCTATTCCTTTGTATTCCTTTGTAGCCCCTCTCTGCTTCCCTCACTCAGAATAGCCTACTGGGCTATGACAGCCAATATGAAGAATCCCCAACTGCTTTATTTACCCTGTCCAAGCCTCAGTGTTCCCATCTGTAAAAGGAGGTAGAACCTACCCCGCTGGGCTGTAGTGAGGATTAAATGAGAAGGTATATCTTATGCATAGTTCCTGACATTCAAAAAGTGTTCAATAAACACGAGTTCATGAATCTTATCTTCTGATTCCTAGCTCCTCAAACAGTAGGAGTGGCTAAGAAGGCCTCTTTTTGGATTCCCACAGGTTTTTAAGCAATGGTCCTAAGAAGGACCAGGAGATAATCAAGGCGATGTCTTCCACCAGACTCATTCCCCTGTGGAAGGATTTTAAATACCTCTTAAGTGACATCGTACATAAAAGCCAGGTAATGTATCTGTAGAATATAAGCATGTTATTGGTCTCTATCTATCTTATAGTTATGAACACTTTAGAGGAGCAGAGATTTTCCATGGGCGCAGGAAGCAGGCAGGGTAGACTATAAAGACAGTTGTCACCTTAGTAGGAAGTGGGCCATCAATTTCCAAATGAGTCTAGGGACCTCTTGCAAGGAGGTCCCTAGTGAACACTTTGGAGCATTGTCAGAGGAACCAACCCTCTGGGAAGAGAGATTTTTCTAAAAGAGAAGGGAGAAGGCACCAGAGAGAATATCTGTCAACCTCAGTTTTGCTGTGGTTGGCTCTGTGTCAGAGGATCCCAGGGCATGCTTCAGAGCACATGCTCTATCGCTGTGGGATAATATCTATGGTAAGTAAATTGTATATATATTATCTTCCTCTGTCAACTCTAAAGGCCAGGTGGGGTGTCCTGAAATTCCTTCTTCGTGTAGTTTTAAGCTTTAAGAACTTAAAGCTGCACCAGCTTTTGGGAGACCCTGTTACATTACATGTGGGTATAAGGCAGTGCGCTTGCCTGGGTAATGTGTTAAATGTGTCTTTTGTGACATATGTACCTTTTAGAGAGAAGGGAGAATGTTAGGGGACACGTAGAGCTAACTTCCTGTGGGGAAGAACATCGCTTTTCCCTGTAGTCACACTAAAATTTGCCAATATAGGCCCTGTGTGGGTTTGGTTCTCCCTTGTGTTGGGGGTTGTGTTACATGCTTGTGAAGTGCAAGCATCCTACAGGTGATAAGTTGTGCTTGTGTGGGTGTAAGAGGAGTGGTCCTTGGGGTTGATGTATGACTCTGGGAACTGCTTCGATTGTGACTTGTGTGAGAATGTCTTTAGTGCATGTGTGTCCTGGTCTCTCAGTTTATGCCATGCCTCTCCCCAGCAAACTTTAGATGACCCAAAGAGTGAGGTAGTTGTGCTGAGTGACCGGTCCCAGATACTGTTCAAAGAGTCTCGCCATCCTCAGAATATGCCGCTCATATGCTATTACTTCAGTGATGCCAACTTCTTTGCCTCCCTCTCTTGGGTGACAGCAGGCACAAAGGAAATACAGGTAAACCTGCCTTGCCTTTCTTCATCTTCTTAGCCCATTCTGCAGGGGCCATGCCTATACAAACTCTCCGCCCAGATTGGCAAAGGAAGATATACCCCTTGAATGGAAGTGACCTGGATCCAGGATTCCCCCTCATCCTTTCTCTAATTATAGTCTCCATATTGAGTAGATTTTATGGTTCCCCTAAAGTAGGCCAAGGTTAGGGAAAGTGTCCCAGGCCTCTTGCTGCTTCTACAATATTTTCAACCACTATAACCAAGAGGTAAAATCTAGAGTCTTCCAATTCCTTCTTAGCACAAGAATAGGGAAAAATAACTGAATATTCTGCCCTTTCCTCTTCTACCATTTTTTCTAGGCAGTTTCCATCTTATTCTCTTCTAGGCTGTAGTATGGATGAAGAGCAAAACTGAGGACATGGTCGAGAAGAGAACATTCTCCATGACCGAACGATTGCCGCCCATCCAGTCCATGGTCCACACAGGTTCCTTTCATATCCTCGTGGCCTACTGTGGTGATCTGCTCCTGCGGCTCTTTGGGGACCACTTTCGGTCATTCAAACCCCTGGGTATAGTGCCCTGCCGCTTTAACATCAACTGCCTCTGCTATGACCCGGAAATGAAGATGCTTCTGTCGGGCATCCTGGGAGCAGTGGTCACCTGGACCATTGAGCGGAGTGGCAGGGGCCTCGTGATGGCCCACACGGTTCCCATGCCTGGCGATGAGCTTGTCCAGGACATCACATTGAATGGTCCCAGTGGCTCCCTCCTAGCCATGTGTGAGACTGTGGTGAGGATGCTTGAGCACCAGGGCCAGGGCCGGCTGGGAGAGGTGAAGAGGTTCATGTCCACCACCAGTGGCTCCTCGATCACCTGCTGCTTCACCTGTTTTGATCAGGGCTTTCTCTATGCTGGAAACAAGACTGGGGAAATCCAAGTATGGAGCCTCGGTTGGGGCCAGTCTCTCCACAGTTTCAAGGCCCATTCCTCATCAGTGATTTGTATCCGCAGCCGGCCAGAAGCCCACACCCTGCTAACAGCTGGCAAGGAAGGCTTAATCAAGGAGTGGAACCTGACGTCAGGGAACCTGCTGCGGTGGCTAGAACTTGGCGAGGAACTGTATCGACTCCAGTTTATCGACAGCAGTACTTTCTTCTGCCAGACTACCCATACTTTCTCCGTGTGCTCTCTGCCCTGCTTCTACAGCCTCTTCAATGTCTGTGGCTCTGCTCCCCAGCAGCTGCGTCGCGTCCGCTGCGGTGATAACTGGTTCCGGATCCTGTGCACTACGGAGGATGGCTTGTTGCGCTTTGTGTCCCCACTAACAGGGGATCTTCTGGTTCTCACCTGGCCCTTCTCCATCCTGGACCGGGCAATGGATTGGGCCTATGACCCAGATAAAGAGGAGCTCTTTGTAGCAACAGGCAGCTCAGAGGTGCTAGTATTTGACACAACCCGCAGCCCTTGCCCGGCCAAGTATCTCTTATGCACCTCACCGGATTCTCAGGACTTGGTTCAATGCCTGGCTTACGGGCATTTCCACCTGGGTCGGGGTCTAGAAGGACTAATGTTCTCCGGACACCAGAGCGGTGCGATAAGAGTGCTTTCCCAGCACAGCTGCGCCCGAATAGAGAAATTCATGCACTTTGGGGCTGTACTGGCACTTTCCACACTGCCTGGAGGGTTTTTTGGCGGCCGAGAAAACTCTTTGCTCTGTTCCTATGGAATGGATGACTATGTGCACCTATCAGAAACTCTGCTTGAGGGGATCAGAGTACGTCTGCGGCCCCTCGCCAGCATTCTCAGCAGCTGTCACCTAAACCACCTGATCCTCTTGCCCAAGGCTGTGGGTGCCATCACGGAGACTAACTGCCTGCGTCTCTGGAAGTTCCATGATTTTGTGTCCTCTGAGTCACAGAAAGGCTCGATGTTCATAGAGACATTGCCTCTGCACCAGTGTGCCATCATGTCCTTTGACGTCTGCCTGTCCTTGAGTCTTTTTGTCACAAGTAGTAGTGACGGCTCTGTCCGCATCTGGAACTTCCATGGGAGGCTTGTAGCCATGCTGGACTCATCACTGCACTTTGGCCCAGTCTGCTTTGCAAATGACCGGGGCGACCTGCTTGTGACTTTCAACCAGAGTCTTTATCTGGTGTCCTGTTTAAAACTGCTTCCCCCAGCCATGCTGGTTCGCCTTTCCTTTATAAGCATGACAGATGAAGTGCTAGAAACTCCTAAGCCTTTCATACCAAGCTTCTTCTTCTCCTTTGAGACCATGTTTGTGCCCAAGTATATCTACCTTGGACAAGGGCAACAGGAATTAGTGGGTCTGGAGAGCCTTGTCAATAAGCGGGCCATTGCCTTTGACCATACCGTGCCACACGTCATAGAAGAAGATGAGCAAGGGAGCTCCACGTTACTGGCTGCCTCCAGACACGATTCTTTGCATAAGGAGGAAACTGATTGGATGCAAGTGAGCAAACCTCGTCATGCCCAGTATGTAGTTCCTCCCCAACTACAGCTGACTACCTGGGATGGACTCAACCCCTATCAGATATTGCGATACTACTTTGGTCAGGGGCGGAAATGGCTCCTTGCTCCTGATTGCTACATCCCCAACTCAGTGATTCGTGCCCGTCTTTGGCCAGAGGGCAGCCCAATATACCTACAGTGCAACCTGCACTCACCCATGCGGGAATTGGAATGGGACAAGTCTCAACAGTTCTTCTTCTGGCACAGTAGGGTAAGAGCTATAAGTGATGTAGGACAATATCCACAGGAAAAAGAGGATGAAGACTTCATAGAAACGAGACTGTCCAGGGATGTAACCTACAATGTCCTTATAGACTCAGCAAACCGCAGTTGGCTGGGAAGAAAGATGAGTGAAATAGCTATTAATAGCCTGATTGAGACAATCCTCAACATTATGATCTATGCTTCTCCATTGAGGTACCAATGCTGTATTGGTGTGCTCGGGCAAATCTTTGCCTCTTACCAGGTGTCTCCAGCCTTGCGTTCTGAAGTGGCCCATCGTCTGCTGGATGATACAACCCATTCCAATCCACTGATCCGAGAGCTAGCCTGGGAAGGACTGAAGCATCTAGGAATGATTACTCATCTCTTTGCCATGCCACTGGCCCAAGGATTAATGGACAAGGATGAAAGAGTGAGGAATAAGGCGCTGAGCCTCATGGCTGAGACTGGAATCAACTCTAAGACCTCACTCTTACACTTGATCCAGAACCGAGAGACCTTCCAGGAGATGCAGTAAGTTCTTTGTGCCTTCTTCAATTCTTTACTAGCTTCTAATTTTCTTCTCCCCTTCCCCATTTGCCCTTCCTTTGCTTCGCCATCTCTTCATCCCTGTTCACTAGCTCTTCCTGCCCTTTTTCCTTGTTCATAGTCTTTTTCCATTCCTCGACTATCCTACCATCCCCTGACTGCTCATTCCTTTCTCCTTTTCTCCTATCCCTGTCCATCCCCTACCTCTTCAAGTTCCCCTTTCCATCCTTTTATCCTACCCCTGCAGCCCCCACACGATCACTCCATTCATTGCCATCTTGGCTTCGTGGACTTTTTCTTTCTTCTTGACCATGCTTTACCTCTACATCCACTGCCTGTCTCTGTTGGCCACTTTGCCAAGCCCCCTACCTGTTCCACCACAGCTCTTTCCTTCTCATTCTCCCTCTGGTCCCTGATTCAGCATGGTCTTCCCTCTCCTTTGACTTTCACAGGCAGGAAATGATTGGGGAGGAATCCCTGGACCATCTGCTGGGGATGCGGGCCACAGATCTCCAAATCCTTCATACTAAAGTGGAGCAGCACTTGGAGGAAAACCTGACCTTGTCACAGGGAGTTGGAAAGCCTGCTTTTTCTTTAGATGTCTCAAGGCCTTCTGAACTTACATCCCTTTCCAAGCAAGTTGATACAGTTCCTGAAGAATCTGAAGGTGCCATCAAGCCTGGCAAAGGCCAAAGACGAGGCCGAGCAGGAAGCAAAAGGCCAAGTAAGTATGGGGTGATCTGGTTCATGCCTCAGGGTCCCTAAGAAGCAAGGTAGTTAGGGCTAAAGTAGGTCAAGAGATATCAGGTAGGAATAGAGAAAAGTGGAAAGATCTTTTCACAGAAAAGAACCTTCCTAGAAAAACCCACCCAAACTCAGGGAGACTCTGAGGCCTTTCTCTCTAGGGTTTGGGGGGTGGGGCACTGGGAATAAAGCAAGGAGATTGCCTTTTTTTTCAAAGGCCTCAGCCCCCTCTGTTGCTATTTCTTTTATGGCAGTTCCTCTTAGTTCATACCGGATGTTGGGAAGGGTTTCATTGAAGCCTCCCATGCTTTACTTATCTACATGTCCTGATTTTCCCTGCAGTCCGAAAATGGTTGCGGGGCCTCAAGAAGATAAAAGAGGCTGACACAGAGCCAGCTCCCTTAAAGGGTGAACCTGAGCAGAGTGAAGCTGCACTCAGTGAGGTGGAGGATGCAGCCATCTATTCTTCCAAGTCTTCAGTCCTCAGTGTGCTAAAGATTTCAAAAGATGCTGAACAACAACCTCCAGAGAAAGATGCCTCAAAGGATCAAATTGCATTGACCCTAAAGATGCTGAGGAAAATACGTGACAAAACAGGCAAGAAAACAACAGTTCGAAAACCCATAAAGAGGCGCAAGAAGAAGACAAAAGAAGCTAAAGTTGTAACTGAGGAACCTCCGTCTCCTGTAAAGGAAGAACCAGTTGTGAAGAAGATGAAGGCCAAAGGGCGCGGTGCCTCTGGAGCGCCTGGCCTCAGGACTGCCTCTGGAGATGGCTCCTCATGGCGGGATGATCTGTGTCGTCTTATGACCCTGAGGATATCTGGTTCTCAAACACAAATGTCAGAAGCTCTAAACACTGAGCTAGTGACCTTGGCTCAGGAGGTGCTGGCAGATCAGCACCCCAGCTGGGACCTCTTTCAGGAGATCTGCCCCCTGTTGAAGAAAGAAAGTGAGGTTCTGCTGGAGGACCTTGAGTGGGAGGCAGCCTGGTCAGAGGAGAAACCAATTTTCATTCACGAAGGAGCAATTAGAGAGGACATGGTGATCAGAGAGATGGAAGAGATACCAGAGGAGCAAAAGCAAGTGCAAAAGGAAGCAAGGGACATGCAGGACTTGCAGGAAACCCAGGTGATTTTCAAAAAAGGCAAGAGAAAGAGAGTTATCTTTTTAGAACCAGGCGACCTAACCAAGGGAAAACAAATATCGAAGAAGGAAGAGAAGCAATCCTCTAAGAAGCCCTCTAAGCAAGAGAGGAAAGCAGTCCAGCAGGAAGTCAAAGTGGATAAAAAGGAGAGGAAAATGTACAAAGGAGAGAGGGATGTGACTGAGGAAGTGGGAGAAAAGGCCATACTGGAGCGGAAAGTGGTTGATCAAGAAAGAAGACCAGTTAAGGATGAGAGGAAGCTGTCCTGGCAGGAGCGGAAGAGGTCCTGGGATCAGTGGAAGCAGGCCTCCAGTGAGACAAGGACATCCTGGGGTGAAGGGAAGGAGGCTTGGGACAGGAGGCATCTTGAGGAAGAGGAGAAACTGCAAGAGGACAAAAAGAAGCTATTCCCAGTTGAGGAAAAGCTGTATGGGGACGAGAGGAAGCGGAGATGGGATGAGTGGGAACAGGACCAGGAAAAAACGTTGTCAGCCAGGTCCAGAGATCAACTGCTTGAGGATGAGGAGGAATTGACCTTGGCGGAAGAAGGATTGTCTCAGGAAGAAGAAGAAGAGCGGGTGACAGAAGAGCAGAGACAGATCCAGAAAGAACGTAAACAGGCCTGGGTCGACAAGAAAAGAGCCCAAGCTAGAAGAAAACGAGCCCAAGAGGAGAGGAAGTTGGCACAACAGGAAGAGAAGCTGGCACAAGAAGAGATAAAACTGGCCCAGGAAGAGAAGGAACTGGCCAGAGAGTACGGGAAACTGGCTCAGAGAGATAGGAAAATGGTCCAGGCAGAGAGGAAGTTTGTTCGGAAAGAGGAAAATCTGGCCCAAAGAGGGGAGAAGCTAAGCCAGGAAGCAGAGAAATTGGCCCAGAAAAAGAAGCAACTGGCCAAGAAATTGGAGAAACTGGCTCAAGAAGAAGAGAAAATAGCAAAGAAAGGAGGGAAGCTGGCTGAGGTAAAAAATATATTGGCCCAGAAAGTGGAAAAACTGGCCCAGAAGGAGCAAGATATGGCATCGCAAGAAATGGAACTAGCCCAGGAACTGGAGGAGCTAGCATGGGAAGAGGAGGAACTGGCCCGGAAGGAAGAGGAACTGAATCAGGAAGAGGAAGAACTGGGTGAGAAAGAGGAGGAGGGACTGGCTCAGGAAGAGAAGACACTGGCCTGGAAAGAAGAGGAACTGGCTGAGGAAGAGAAAAAATTGGTCCAGGAAGAAGAGCTGCTGATCCAGGAAGAGAAGAAACTGGCCCAGGACAAGGAAAAACTGCGTGAAGAAGAGGAAAGACTTGCCCAGAAAAGGGAGAAATTGATGGAAAACAAGGAAAAACTGGCCCAAGAAAGAGAAAAACTGGTCCAGAACAAGGAGGCACTCACAAAGAATAAAATACTAGCCCGGAGGGGGAAGACTCTGGCTCAGGAGAAGGAGAATCTGGCTCAGAGGAAAGAGAACCTACTCCAGGTCAAACAAAACCTCACCCAGGACAGAAACAAATTAGTCCAAGTAAAAGAGAAACTGGACGTATACAAGAATAAACTGACACAGATGGAAGAGAAGATTATGGAGGGAAAGAAGAAACTTTTCCAGAAGAAGGAAAAACAGGCTGATGCAGAGAAAAAACTGACCCAAGAAGAGGAAAGTCTGGCTGAGAAACAGCACAAACTAGGCCAGGACAAAATGAAATTAGCTGTGGAGAGCAGGGCAGTATTTCAAGAACTGCAGCTTCTCAGAGGAGAGTGGGATGTTACTAAGGAAGAAAAGGCATTGGACGTGGAAATGAAGAAACTAGCTCAGGAGAAGGTGAGACTAGCTGAGAGGAAGGAAACTCTCTCCAAGGGAGAGCTTCAAGAAACCTCAAGAAAGAAAAAACCAACTAAGGATGAACTAGAACTAATTAAGAGGAAATTGTCACTAGAGGAGAAGATCCTGGTATTTGAAGACAGGGTACTGGCCACAGAGCAAAGGGACATTGCCAAAGGAAAACTGGAGTTTATTAGAGGAGGGAGAGTCTATGCCCAGGAAGAAAGGAAGCTAGCCAAGGTAATAAGGAAGTTGGCTAAAGAAAGCAAGGGCATTTCCAAGGAACCATCAAAAGTGAGCAGCAAAGTCTTGAAGGTACTTCAAAACCTTACCAAAAAAGAAAGGAAACTAACCCAGGAAGAAATACAGATGACAAAATTAAAGAGATCACTTTTCTTTATGGAAAGGAAATTGAGCAAGGAACAGCATACACTTGATGCCAAAGAGTGGGGTTTTTCTGAGGAAGAATCAGAAATAACCGAAGATGAGAAGAAACTGGCTAAACAGCAGAGAAAACTGGCCAAGGAGATGAGGAGAATGATAAAGAAAGAGAAACAAATGACTGAGGAAGAAAGCAGATTGGCCAGGCAACAGAGAGAAGTCATAGAGGAAGAAGAGGAAGAAGTGACAGAGGAAGAGGAGGTAATGCCGTTCCTTAAACAAAGGTCAAGAAAGAGGAGAATGGACATGAGACAGGAAGAGTTTCCCCGTCAAGGGGATAAGGTGGAAAGAGAAGAGAGCTTTTATGAAGAAATGGAAAGCCTGTTAGATGAAGTAGAGCGAGACAGTTTGTCTGAGGAGGAGAAAGAGGAAGAGGAGGAGGAAGAGAAGGAAGAAGACAAGGAGGAAGAGCAGGAGGAGGAAGAGGATGAAGAGGAGAAGGAGGAGAAGGAAGGGAAGGAGAAGAAGAAGGAGAAGAAGAAGGTTCAGGAGCAGGAAGTGTTTGAGGAGAAGGAAGCCATCATGAGGGAGGAACAGATAGAAAGTTTGAGCGATAAAGAAACAGAAGAAGAGGAGAGAAGCTCATTGGAGGAAGAGGTAGACAAGGAAAAAGAGATCTTAAAAAAAGAAAAACTATTTAAGTTACAAGAGGGGAGAAGAAAGGACCTAAGAGAAAGAGGCACAGTCCCTTCTATTAGAAAAAGAATCCCTGAGGTCAGAGGCAGTCCTATAAAACTGGGAGTTCTGAAAAGCCCTTCCAGGAAACTTATCTCAATAGCTCTGGGGAGGGAAGAGAAAAGACCAGTGCCAGTGCCTACGAAACAAATATCCTGGGAAGACAAGGCTACAGTACTTGAGACGTCCAAGATATTCCCAGAGCCAAGGTTTGTAGATAAACAAGGAGAACTGTTGAAGAAACATAAGCCCACACCTCCACAAGTTATGGGTACAGTTTTGGAGTCCCAAGAGCCAGACTTAAAGACCCCATATTTATCCCACATATTGAGGAAGACCATGGAAGCTCAGAAACTCCAGGGCAAACCAGTAGGGGCCAAGTGGCAGTGGCTTTTGCAGCATCATCCATCTCTGCTGGCACAGACCGAGGTGCAATTACCTGTGCCCCACATCCTGGCTGAGGAAATATACGCAGAGGTAAGCCTCTCAGATGTTGAGTGGCTTCACCATGTCCTAGAACGGATGGAGGCAGGAGAACAGATTTCCAGGGATAGTTTCCACAGATTGTGCCAGCTCCTCAAAGACCTCACCTCAAAGGGAAACTTAGAATGGATGCATCTGGCCATCCTTGAAGCCATAGTGTACCGCCATAGGCAGGTCCTAGAATCACGAAGCACAGGTGTCTCAAAACTCAGTAAGGAGCCCATGGGTCCAAAACACCTGAAAGTGATCCCTCCTATAAAAGGAAAGGAAAAGGAAAGCTCACTAAAACCTTTGGCTGTCCCCACACCAAAGTTGCCATTAGCTACAAAAAGGATTCCAGACCCAAAGGCTATAAATTGGCATCTTCTGGGAGAGCCTTACAGGAGTGCTTGGGCAGAGCAGATATCCAGTGCTCTCAAGGAGATGGAGATACAACACTTTTATCCTAACGCAAGAGACATTCCTACAGGTGCCCGTGCCTCTGTGGAAAAACAAACACTAGCACTGATGTTTCAAAAGGACTTCTGGGCTTTTAAGGATAGGGGCAGGTTTCCCAAATTGCCCAAGTTGAAGAAGAAGACACAGCCCATCTCCAAGAAAAAGGAAGAGGTGCCCCAATGGGAGACATTTGTGGCACTGTACCATGTTTTGCGGATGTTACAGGAGCGATATGCAAAAGACAGTGCTGCTTGGATGGAACAGTTCTGCCACCTCATGGACCTGTACCAACTTAAGTCGCCCCGAATCCAGAGGCTGCTACAGGAGCTGCTCCTGAGAGGGGAACCCCAGTCCCAAGAGCCCATCTACAAAGAGGCCCTAAAGACCATGGAGCTAGTTCCCGGGGAGCGGTTGTTCTACCGCTTGTTTTGTGGTGGCTCTCATATCCATAGAGGTCCTCTGGAGTTCCAGGAGGTGGTGTCCCTCCCAGGGCAGAACAATGTGCGTACCGTGCTTCCCATGGGCATTGCCCACTATGGGATCTTAGAACTGGCCTGGAAGAGCCTGCCCCAGGCTGACATTCACCTCACCAAGGAATTTCCCCTCATCGTTGCTCCTACCCCCTAATTTGAGACTGACTGGAGGTCAAGATTTTTCATTCCCACCTGGACAAAGGCCTTGTTCTCAGAATCTAGACCTTTATCTCTAGGGCCCACACAGAGGTAGGGCCAGGCCAAAGCCCTCTCCCTACCCTGCTCCAGAAGCCAGCTTTTATATGTGGAATAAAGAGGAAGTTCTCATTTGCAACAAGCACTGTGATGTGTCCCTTTTCCTCAAGCTGCTTCTCCAGAAAGGTAGCCAGAGAGACCAGATACTCACATACTCCTGAGAGTGGGAAAACTTCCTGAAAGCCAGTGGTGCTCACCCTATGGAGGCCTTCAGGCAAAAGAGACAGTCGTTGTCCTCTTCCTTCCTTGCCTCCCACCTTCCTCCCCTAAAGACTATAGGAAGGAAAGCACCTGGCACAGAAATGAATGTATATTTGGCATTAATATAAGAGGCATTGATATAGTGGAAAGAAAATTAATTTTAGAATCAGAAGACTGAGTATTTTGCCCCTTAGTTTTTGGGGATACACAGTGGAGTCAGACTCTATTTCCCTGATCATAGCTCTGCATGCTGATGACTTGGGTCCCAAACAGCAGGTGTGGTGGGTATTGAGGAGACCCTCACAGTAAAGGGAAAAGCTTCAACAAGTTCTAGCCAGTACCACCTCGTGACCTCATTACTGGACGGCACTAAGGGATGAGGCCATTTGAGGTTAAAGCAGAAAGAAAGGGAGGGAGGCCTATGTCTTTTACTTCCTTTGCCAACACCTGGAGATGGGGTCTGGGGAGGATGACAGAATGAAAATTTGGAAGATGAAGTGTAAGCTCAAATATGTCCCACAACTGTCTAGGGACTTGTGATCCTTCCCTCTAGCAATTAAGGAGACAAGAGTTAAAGGGAAAGGGGTAGCAAAATGGAGGAAGTTGTCACTGCCAGTAATCGTGTTCCTTCCCTGATCTCCTTTCCCCACCATGGAGACCTCAGAACTGCCTCTTTCCAGGTAAGCTGAGCCTTCCAATAGCTTCTAGCAAGTAGCCCATCTATGCCATTTGCCACCCCCTATCCCATCCTTGCCTTTGTTATTCTATTCCTTCCACCTGAGTTTGCTTTTGTGGGGAAGCCAGGGATCCAGGGCAAGAGAACATTCTGAGAGGTTGGATTCACCATGGAGGCCAATGGCAATGAGAGCTCTGGGTGTGTAGTTGGGCTCTTCCATGTCAGACTACATATCAGGTCACATGGAGTATATGAGAGCAATGTTCTGGGGACAGGAAGCCTCAAAAAGGATGATTGACTCAACAGCTGGGCAAGGCAGCAGAAGTAAAGATGGCTCAGCTGGTTCTGCAGCCTTGACTTGAATCATTTCTCTGTTTACGTGTCTGTGTCAAAAAGGGGATAGTGCACAAATTACAAATATCAGGCATGAAAGAGGGGACATCACTACAGATCCGACATTAAAAGGATAAAGACTACTATGAACAACTCTATGCCCATAAATTTGACAACATACATGAAATGGGACAAATTCCTCAAAAGACCCAGAAAAGGAATAGCAATATCTATCTAATTCATTTTGCAGGATATCTGTGGGTCCTCTGGTCAAAAACAAACAAACAAAACAGAGTGACAAAAAAATAGTCTAACTGTTGTGGTCCTAGAGTCAGGTTCCTGTCCATGGATGGCTCTCCAGGGAGCCTCAAAACCTTGGTACTGGCTGTGACAACCCTGATATCCTCTTATCTTTGCCAGAAAGGCAGAGAGCAGGACTTGTTTGTATTTTCTCCTCAGTATGAAAAATTTCAATCACAAAAGTAGAAGAAAGTATGATAATGAACTCCCAAATCCCCATCACCTAGATTTAATTATAAACATCTTGCATAAATGCTTCATCTGTTTTTTTCTTTGATGAGGTATTTTAAAATAAATCCCAGACATCATATTTCAACCCTAAATACTTTGAAACTCATCTCTAAAAAATAAAATCTCACATACTGATTTCACATCTAACAAAATAATAATTCCTTAATATCATCCAATACTCTATGCAAATTTCCCTGGTTGTCCCCCCAAAAGCCCTTTTTATACTTAATTTGCTTGAATCAGACTTCAAACAAGGTCTATATGCAGCATTTGATTGTTATGCTTCCTAAGACTCTTAAACATTTACACTCTCCTCAGTTTTTTTGCGCCATTGATTTGTTGAAGACACTGAATCAGTTATCCTATAGATTTCTCCATGTTTTGGATTTTTCTGATAGAGCAGAGTTTTGCAACTTGAGGTCTGGATGTGCTTTGAGGGTCCATGAAGCTTCTGAAATTAGATGAAAAAGAATTGTTGGTATGTGCCAGGTACTTTCTCCCTCCCGCCACCCTCACCTCCTGGGAAAAACTCTGTAGCTTTCCTCAGATTCTGAGGAAGTCTTGGACACCAACGTGTTACATCACCACTTAAGGAGACAGCAGAGACACATGGGCTTGAGCACAGACATTGCCAATCATCAGTTGAATGACCTTCAGCCAGTACCTTCCCCTCACTGGCCCTAGATTTCTGATTTTTGAAGGGATAGTTATACTTCAGACCTCTCCAGGATATTAGAAAGGGTTTTCATCCCCTGATCCTTCTCCTAGAATGTGTGCTCAGAATAGTGTGAGAGACTTTCCCTACTGTGCACTGCTCCCAACTGCTCTGAACCAGGAAACACACAATAGGGAGTTGACCTTGGGTAAGACCTCAAAGGGAGGAGGATCTTACATTTCCTGGAAGAATATTACATGCTCATACTAAGGTGAGTGAATAAAAAACACTAGACTTAGATTAGGAAATGACCCTGACAGCACACAGAAACTCCTAGATGGCTTGGCTCTGAGGACTGAGCCCTGGAGGTTTAGAAGAGGGAAACATAAAGGGGAACTGTCAAGGAGATTGAGAAGGAGCAGCCAGGAAGGTAAGCAAAGAGCCATTCAAGAGTGATGCCCAGAATTCAAAAAGACACATTTCAAGAAAGTGGGAGAGGGCCGGCCCTGTGGCTTAGCGGTTAAGTGCGCGCGCTCCGCTGCTGGCGGCCCGGGTTCGGATCCCTGGCGCGCAGTGACGCACCGCTTCTCCGGCCATGCTGAGGCCACGTCCCACATGCAGCAACTAGAAGGATGTGCAGCTATGACATACAACTATCTACTAGGGCTTTGGGGGAAAAAAAATAAATAAAATTATTAAAAAAAGAAAAAAAGTGGGAGAGATAACCTGCGTCGGATACTGTTGATGGGTCAAGTAAGAGAAAGACTAAGGATTGACCACTGGAAGTGGCAAACTAGATGTAATTGGTAACCTTGACGAATGCATTTTAGTGGAGTTGTGGGATAGACAGCCTGACTAGAGTGGGTTTAAGAGAGAATGGAATGAAAGGAATGGACTCATTGGGGTTTTTTGTTTTCTTACTTTTTATTTGGAAATCACTTCAAATTTACAAAAAATTGCAAAAATAAAATAATTCAATAAACCTTTTTACCCTTATTCAGATACACACACACACACACACACACACACACAGAAAGAGAGAGAGTGATAAAGCAATTGAGGTAAAATGTTAACAAGAGTTGAGTGTGTGTTGTGTAGATGATATATAATATTTGTCTGAACTATTTGAGGTAAGTTACATATAACACTTCAGTGTGTATTTCCTAAGAATAGGGATATTCTCTTACATAACCTCTGTACAGTTATCAACTTCATAAATTTACACTGATACACTACTTTAATCTGCCATCCATGTTCCAATTCCAACATTCTCAGCTGACCTAATGTCCTTTATGGCATGCTTTCCCTTCTGTTAAAGGAGTTGAAGTCCTTTTGTGACTTTTTGAAGTCAGGTCTAGAGTCAGGTATTGCATTTATTTGTCACGTCTCTTTAACGTCCTTTAATCTGGAGCACTTCCACAGCCTTTATTTGCCTTTCATAATATTGCCACTTTTTTATTGGGGTAAAATATACATAACATGAAGTTTATACCATTTTAACTGCTTTTAAGTGTGCAGTTCTGTGGCATTAACTACATTCATATTCTTGTGCAACCATCACCATCTTCCATCTCCAGAACTTTTTCATCTTCCCCAACTGAAACTCTGTCCCCATTAAACACTAATTCCCCATTTCCTCCTCCCCTCAGTCCTTGGCAACCACCATTGTACTTTCTGTCTCTTGGATTTTGACTATAACATTGCCATTTTTGAAAAATATAGTCACACACACTTAGCTGAATGTTTCTTGTTTTGGGTTTGTCTGGTGTTTCCTCATGAATAGACTAAAGTTATGCATTCTTGAGCAGAATATTGTAGAGGTGACACTGTGTCCTTCTAGGGTATCACTACTGGAGCAGATATGTCCATCTACCCCTCATTGGTGAAGTTAATTTTGATCACTTGGTCAATGTGTAGCCCAATTTCTCCACTATATTTTATTGTTTATCCTCTTCCTCTGCACTAATAAGCTGTATGTGAGGAGACACTCTTAAGACAAATATTCTGCTCCTCATCAAAATTTCTCCTTAGATTGGGCATCCATTGATGATTCTTGGTTGATCTAATCATCATCACCATGGCTGCAAGATGATTTTCCGACTCCAGCATTCCCTCCATATTTTCTAGGCAGCCCTCAGCCTTTTGTATCCCTGTGCCATGCTCCCATCGTTTGTTTTTTAGCACTTCATCACTTTCTGGTATAACAAGATATTCCAGGCTCATCCTGCAACCCCCCTTCTCCAGCTCTGAAATTAGCTATTTCTCTGGGGAGACCTGGTTCCTCTTAAAGGGGAATGGTATTAGAGACTATTGTGAGTCGAATTGTGTCCCCCAGAAAGATATGTTGAAGTCCTAACTTGCAGTATCTGTGAACGTGACCTTATCTGGAAATAGGGTCTTCGCAGATGTAATCAAGTTAAGACGCGGTCATACTGGCTTACAGTAGACCCTAAATCCAATGACTGGTGTCCTTATAAGGAGAGGGAGATTTGGAGACACACAGATACACAGGGAAGAAGGCCATGTGACGACAGAGGCAGAGACTGGAATGATGCAACTACAAGCAAAGGAACACTAAGGACTGCCAGCAGCCACTAGAAGCTAGGAGAGAGGCATGGAACAGATTCACCCTCAGAGCCTCCCGAAGGAACCACCCCTGCCGACACCCTGATTTTGGATTTCCGACACCTGAGCTGTGAGAGAATAAATTTCTGTTGTTTTAAGCCACCCAGTTTTGTGGT